ATAACATTACTTATAACGAACTCTAGTTACAATATTTTTATATTACATGCATGTATAAAAGTACTTATTATGTTAAAATGAGCTTAAATACTAAACGGTATAGGAAATTTATAAAGAGAAATATTAATTCTTGATGGATCGTAAGAGACAAAGACATGCATTACATTGAAACAGTTCCTTGACACTTTTTTTTACTTTCAGAAAATAATACATAGTTGTGGGTTCTGAGAGCTGACAAAAAACCACAATGCGACCTCTTTTTAAGCGTGTGGGTACAAAAACCCCAATTCACAAGACATGCTTGATAGATCATGCAGCAAGGGTAAAGGGTAATTTTCTATTTCATGATAGTAACCCAATCTAAATGTCGTAGCAGCTTTATCAATAGGTTCCGTGTAAAAATTTATCAATAGACATATTGAGGTGTTTTGTACGAGCGTGGTATAAGAACTAAGTCTGTATTTATTAAAGAAATGTGTATATTATATTTGCCAATTTCAATTAAATTTACAAAGCCTAGTTAACTAAACTGATTCGATTCACTTCGATAACTCCACTGTACAATACTTTTGTCAAGAAAAATGTGTCTTTATTGAACAAGATTATTGTTAAAAATTGAGTTCGTGGGAAATTTAGGTACAATACTAACGACATAAGTGACATTTGAAAAAGAATTGCAAAAAGTGACTTTTTTTACATTACAAATATAATTTTTGACATCCGCTTCCGTTTATTAAAAATCAACCCAAAACCAAACAACGCTGTCATTACTTATAAATTATTTAGAAGACATTTAAATAAACAAAAGAGATATTCACCAAATAAAATTGAATTTCACAATATATGACATGTGTCAATCGAGCTTATGGCTCTTTATTAAGATGCATAATTAATAACGAGAATATACCTTTAAATGAATATTAGGGTTTTATCACGTGTGTGGAATTCCACCAAAATACACCAAAAATAACAGCCTGTTAGCGACGCACTGGCATCAAATGATTTCATCTCTACACAGATTACAGAATTTCAAATTTCTAATTGCTGATCAATATCGTTCCTTTTGTCTCATATTGTGTTCGATATTTTTCAGAGTCACGTTGGATTATCACACTCTCGCTACTACATAGACGAGAAAATGATCACATTATAACTAATTTAATTTGTGCCAATATGAAAAATATTTTATGTTATTTATTTCATCAGGTAGAATTTCAAAGAAAAAAAAATCAATTGCTGTCCTTTTCGGAATCGTTTCATGATTCATGATATTTTGACATTACCACGACGTCTTTATTTTTGTTCGCTTCTCATCTTGACCCATTCTTAGTATTCTGCTCCTATATACCAATTGTATTTCAGCATTTGAGTATTTGCATGGGATTTTTTTGTTTCTTCACACATTGACACATTTTTGTCCTTTATTAAAACGCAAAACTATCTATCTTTATGTACAATTTCCCCGCTTTTTTCGTTCGATATGCTTTTATATACTTTTCTTGAATCTATTAAATGAATTAAAGTAATCAGCGAACTAGACTGAATATTCACTAAAAAGGAATAATTTAGTAATGGTATGATGGTCAAAGATCTAAGAAAAGCTATTCAAAATACCTTGGTTATAATTGAATTATTCTATAAACATAACATCTATCGGCAGTATTAGATCTTTCAAGCGTTGGCAAATAAACTTTTAGCACAGAATGATCGTGTCATAGGGCAAATTTCAACAACACTTAAATCGAATAATGATGAAGGGAACTTATTTATTTTCTCGATTTTCACTTAAAATAAGATGCCGGTTTTTGTTAAGATTTAAATAAGCGTTAAGAGGAGAGAATGGGTAAGATTACAAGTCAATCTTTATGGTTGTTTCTGCTCCATTGATTACCTTGTTCCCTTTCTGTCAACATACAACATACAAAATAAAAATTTGTTTTTACACTCTTTAAGGTATTCTTGGTTTCGAAAATTTTTATATTCCACAAGCATGCAACCACTTCTTTCTGAAAAGAGTGGCAGTATGATTTATTAAAGCACCGTTCTCTCAATGTTTATATATAAACATAAATGCCTTCATAGGCTTTGTTTCTAGCTTCAGATAATGAAATTAATGATTCCATTAACGTTTCATTTTCATGAACGGAGTATATTGCTTCGCAATATGAAATTTCAGATTGTACCTAGTGAAAGTTAAATTCATACACCATAGATAACTCTTCCTTGATTTATATTAAACTTAAGTGATATGAACACTCCGAAATGGATGCTGAGTTGAAACACACATTGTATGAGATGTTTCGGAGTGGTTAATATTATCGAGCCGANACATTCTGAACCACTAATGTTGTCTTTAATTTAAGTTAAATTTGAAGCGTGGAGCTATGTTGGTCGCCATCTTATATAAGACTTATTGTCATTGAAAATTTCAGCCAATCAAAAGACATGAATTTCATTGTCTCAAAATTTTTATTAAGATGGCGACGTAGTTTGAGTGAAAACACTCGCCTGATGGACATTTATCTATTGTCATAATGTCAAGTTGTTGGAAGTTACACCTTATTCCATTATTAACTAATACTTTACAACATTTACTGTTTTCAAAGATCTAAATCAAGTAATACAAAAATGCATTATATATACCACTTGGTGGTCTGTCTCTAAATTACGTAGTACTATTTAGAGTCAACATGTCGGTCTAGTATTATCGTGCCTGGTTGATGATCCCACCACAGTAAATGTCAAATAATTCATTGCAGTTGTTTGGCTTCTAACTTGAAGAACTAGTATTTTCAAATTGCATGAATGGAAAAGAGAGTGCCGATACAAACATGAGTTAGTGGCAAAATACACTCGTATGATTTTCGGCTGAAATAACAATATTGTAGTTGTATTCGCTATCAACCAATTGAAATTCATCATTCATTTAAAATTTCATTATTGCTTTAAAGAATAAGAATTGTTTGCAGATCAGCAATAGAATATTGTTCACTCAATATCGTATTTTCCATTGAGATTCAATTCAAATAGCATACTTATGGCTTAAAATAATATTTATATACAGTCAATAAGAAAGTTTGAGTTCTACTAATTACAGAGCTGGTCATCCCCAAGGCTAGCAAATAATAAAAATATATTTAACTTGTTTCATTGAAAAGATGCTTCACATTTCTTTGACTGCGTTCAAGCCTGAGGAAATGGGAATATAAATTAATCATGTATAGTTATTTATTTGTTATTTAAAACAGCTGTATTGCTTCACATATATTTCAATGGATTGAGTATTTTTTGTAGAAATGATGTGCTCGTAATAGTTCCTCAATAAATGTGACATTGTGAAGCCACGCGTTTCAACTGCTGTCATAGGTAATAAAACGTAGCGGTAAATAGTGTTTTCTTTCTCCTCAAGTACATTAATAAATGCAAGAAATGAAATAATTCTGTTACAATTATTTTTTATATCTTATATCGGTAATAATTGTGGTGTCCAGCAGTTAAATTTTTAACTCGTCATAGCGATTTTTATCACTTCCCCTTGTCAATATTTAGATCTCCTGCTATCTTTCGGCACTAATAGCAAATTTTGTCATTTTTACGATATATTTTAATTCGATAAAAATATTAAGACAAAAACCAGAATGTCTATCACTCAGTGATGCTTGAAATCGATATGCACCGAGGCGATTGTTGAAATTTTTTGTTAAGGGTAGATCACAGGGTGACGTCTTGTCACCACCTTTTTTCATTACCAAATCATGACACTGACAGTGGAAAGGATTTCATTTAAATGATAGAAAAATAAAGAATAGATGAAATGTAACGAGTATTGTCACTGGTAGAATACTTTACAAATACTGGACTTGTAAACATATATTGGCCAATTTATATTGTATTAATAATGTAATGACGCCAAACCACAATGTACAGGTACATATTTCATTTTATAATAATTCACTGCTATTTTTTTCATTTTCCATTCATTTCTAAGAAAGAAATGTTATACCTTCAATCAACGCAGATGTTTTATCAAAAATTGTGATATTACCTAAAATGAATAAAAGAGGTTAAAATCACTGCGTGCAGGAATGGTATAATTTGAGCTGTCATTTAAGATTAAACGCGTCGTTTTTCAGGTTTAATTTTCTCATTAAGCCTTTCTTCAAACTTAAATTTACTGCCAGATATCATATTTCCTGTATTTATATATGACATCAATAGTTGAAATCTGAAATCTCTACTATTTCATTATAGTAAAAAATGGGAGTTGTATACTATTAGCTGTATTGGCATAACATGGCTTATTGCATACGAAACGCAGCTGATAGTTTTCAAGGATCAAGGTATTGCTTTTGTTTTATGTAAAGTGTTAAAAAGCCCTGCTTAGCACATGTCCATCGGCAGAGAATGCATTATTTATTTTCCCGGCTTTTCTCTGTCATGCATGAATTAATGGCTCGTGCGAAACATTAATTCATGCGAAACTCGTAGCTGATTGGATAAAAGTTCTGTGTTAAATTACCTGACAGGTATTGAAATTGGCCAATTTGTTTCACGTATTTCCTAAACATTTTGATAAACGCGTGTCATTTATTGCCAAACGCCTTGCCGGGAACGTGCACGACTTGTGCCATACGAACTTTGACTTTACCAAACGCGTGTCACACCTACGTCCTATACACGCGGATCAACATATTAAGATGGAAAATAACAGTGGGAACGTTGTGTCGTCAGATCTATCGGATTCCAATTATCAGGATTTGCATTCCGGATATTTATTATATTCTGAAATGAATTCCAGTACTGAAGATCCCTTCATTATTGACCACAAGGATCCAATACTTTCAGATAATACAGACTCTACATATGTATTTGGAAATCAAAAACTAACTTATGAAACATGTAAAAGTGTGCAAAAGACGTCGTCGGTTAAATATGAGAAGTCGGAAAAAGTTTTGGGACGGCGGAAACATAAAGGAAGCGTCCAAGAACTGCAGAAAAAGCGGAGATTAGCAGCGAATGCCAGAGAGAGAAAACGAATGGAAAGTTTAAATGTGGCATTTGACCAACTTCGTGCAGTAGTGCCTTCCATAGGAAAAGATAGACAATTATCTAAGTACGATACATTACAAATGGCCCAAACATATATAGCTGCCTTGAAGGACCTTTTGTGAAGTTGTGGAGTTGCCCAATATTCCTACAAGCATTGTACACTATAAACTTTCAAAATTTTTGATTCTAGGTTTATATGAAGAACATAGATATTCTTTAAAAAAACATCTAAAAAAAAAGACGTTCATGATTTCAATTCTTCCCAGAGAAACTAGTGACATTTTGCCACAATTGTAACTATGTTGACTATGTTGACTATTATGGATCATATTGTTAATTTTCTTCTCAAAGAAACTAGTGACATTTTGCCACAATTGTAACTATGTTGATTATCTTTACTATTATGGATGACATTGTTAATTTTCTTCCAAGAGAAACTAGTGACATTTTGTCACCATGTTGATTATTATATAAACTTTGTGCCTTTTGTATTAGTGTATTTCCAAATTGACTATTCCATCGTGGATACATGCCTTATTACGTTTGTTGATCTCATATTTTTTTAAATTTACATTCATCATACATTTACTTGATGTTCTTTTGTCTCTAGGTTCTTATCCTATTCTATTTTTGATATTATAATTTATATATGAGATTATTGTTAATGATATTATAATGTAAATAATTTTTATTTGTTAAATTTGAATAAATATTTATTTTTTTTAAGAAAACGATGTTTTTCCGCACTATACCAAACGGTTAATAATGCTTAAAAGGCTTTGAGTGCCACAAAGAACCGAAAGAAGCATATTCTACGTTCTACTGCTTCTTTAGTCCCCAATTGTCAACAAGGAAGATGATTTTTGCACGACAAGAGCAACGCAGATACCACCGACGATATTCGAAATCACACTTCGTCCTTTTTTTCTGCTTTTTTGAGCGTAGAAAAAAGTACTTGTATTATTAAAAGGATTTCCCGTTCCCGACTATCCGAAGCCCTTTCCCTCCAGTTTCCCATATTTATACCTGTTAGGCTAGACGCAACCGTAAGATTAACAACACCGTATCACGCTAAGTCTTTGAGTACAAAGAAATTTTTCCAGAAATTAATGTACATGTATTAGATGTTTGAATTGAAAAACTACACAAACCTCAGATGGCTTGTTATTTCCATGGAACTTTCATGGCCGAGTTGAACATCTCTGCCATTGACATCGACTAAGCAGTCAGTTCAGAAATAACTGAGTTGGATAGAATAAATAATTATGTATCTTTTAAGTTTCTCGCATAAGAAAATGGTTACAACTGGAAGTGGACGATTGTAAAGTAAATTACAATAAGTCAAGTAAGTTAACTATATTGTGTATTTTATTACGGCCTGTGTCGCAGTAGCGTCCCCTTATATCTGGAATATCTCTACTAATTCAGATCTTTCCACGTGACAAATTCAACCTTCCATAGCTTTTTACTGAAATTTCGATGAAATTTTCATTTATGTCTCATGATGTGATGTAATTCTGTTATGTCAATTTGGAAAGCCGATAATACTAATGATTTAGTATCTCTGTTCTGCAGGTTGGTGATGGAGCTGCAAGTGACTGTCTGTCATTATAGGGCCTGTTACTACTGTTACTAGGCTGGATGTTTAATCTAGACAAGCTGATTTGATATCCAACGAATTGAATCAGGAGAAAGTGCTGCCGATCAATTAATACCTAATGGTTTTAAATTGATCGGCATCCATACAGTGAAATGTGAAAATACCAATGATTGCTTACCTTGATTTCCATAAATAGTTTGGTAAAAAGTGAAATTATGTTTTTCTCTTATTGGCATTATTCACACAATCACTTACTAAACACATTAGATAAACATAACTCTTGTGTTGTTTTTTTTTTTTTTAAAAATAGCAGGAGGAAACTGAAAAGAACAGAAAAGATTTGGGAAATTATTTGGATAACTACAATTAGCCAGATGGAAACGCCAATCCAGACCACCCCTGGTTTTATATTTTTTTGTTTGTTTGTAAAACAACACTTTTGATAAAAATAATGACAAAAGGATCGAAAAGATCGCAGTAATTCCATTACTTCTTTCAACATCAAAGTTAAACTCAAATCAAACAAATTAAATGAGCAATGTTTTTGAGAGATTCTGTTAATGTTTTTGACAATTCAATTCAAAACACATTAAGTTGTGAATTTCTAACGGAATTCAAAAAGCTGAATTGATTTTAGAAATCTGTTTGAATTCAATGGTTTACTATTAATGTAATTGGGGACGCTGAGGGGTGTACCGTTATCCATTATGGAAATGATCAATATTTCTATAAGATCAATTATACATCCCGTTAACTGACTATTTATTCAAAAACATCAAAGAAGACTCCCCATCTTTATTCAATACTTTAGATCAATTACCAAGAAATTATGCTCGAATATCCAGACTTAACAGGTGGGAAGTGCAGAAGTTTCTTGGTTGTTAGTGGCTACAAACGACCAAAAGTCGCATTAACTAACATGTACATTATCAGCGATATCAAGTAAGAATGGCGAACAATAGGGGTCATACATTAGCGACGCTCATAAAATCGCATATCTACAAATAAATGTGTAAATGTTATGGATGAAGTGATATTTATCCGACTAGCACTATTCATGCGTCACCAATGATCTCCACTAGATTGGCAAATAACCTTTCACTTGGACTATTCGTGATCAATGAACCTGAAACTAGGTCCCTTCTTTATCAATTAAAGATCTTGATATTATTATGTTATCCTAATTATCTTTATGATGAAATATGATTGAGCAGTTACACCAATAGACCAGATTGTTTCTACTTTGGGCTTCCATGACTATATTTGCCTATGACCGAAACAAGACAATTATGCTTCTGATGTAATATAGATACTTTTGTCAAGAGTACAACAATGAAAGTTTATAAAGCGTAAATCAATATCAAGCTATTGCGAACTATGAGCTATTACGACATTGTGAAGATGTATCACAATATGCGGTGAATTGGTGGTAATAATTGTACATCATTGTTGTTGTATTTCAGATAAATTTTGTCAGTGAGTTTTATTTGTGGTCCAAGTATGATTTATTTTTTTCCCACCAGTTACCTCCCGTGAACAATAAAAATTTAAGAATTGATTTCAAGCACAACCTTCTTCCAATGCGTTCGACATCAATTCTTATTTTTTTTACCATGTCATCTCTTTATAACCACTGATTTACCTAATTTAAGAATATATGGTAATGTCTTGCCTATATCTAAAGTTGTGACAAATTTGGCTTTTTAGTCATGTTGAAAAAAAGCGTTGTTAGGGTAGTTATTACAATGCCACCAGATGTCTCTATTAACAGTGCTTTGTGATAAGAAATGACAACCATTGAAAAATGACATAAATTACCAAATGAAAAATATCCATTTTCCATAGGGACTGGAAACATGCCTTTTGCCCACACCCTTCCCAGAGAACCGATTGACAAATTTCGTAGGAAAACTTATAGGGTACCCTATGTGATGTACTCTGGCACCAGTAGACCCATCTTCACCTACTCGGGCAATCTATTTCTTAAAGCAATCGTCAACAAAATCAACTAGACAATAGGGAAAATGCGTACTGAAGATCGAGATCTGGGAATCTGGCCACATCGATTGCAATTCACTCCCTTTATATATATTCATAATGTGCAGGGAATTAAATGAATACCCAAGATAAACAATATTCTTAGCGATGTAAGCTCTTTGGGGTGACCAGTTGTAACATCCAGTTGCAAAATTGCATCAGGTATCAAAATAGAATAATTCATTCCTACCTCGCCAACCGCCAGAGTATTTTTTAGGTAGAATATTGTCTGCCGAATTTAATAAAGTTTAAAGGAATTTTAAAACTCTATTTTACTTTATTGTGTATGTTATTATGTCAGATTATAAGGTATCACTTTTTACAACATTAAATTAACACAATAAAGCCACACATCTATGATTATTTTACATATTTACATTGAAATTCTCAAAAATCCAAAATAACACAATAACTTAAGAGGCACGGAATTTTGTCCAGATTTGTACATGATATTGAACGTTTATAATAACCAATGTCTGGTTTCTCTTAGTCCATTAAGGTCTAAAATTAATGCTATCCAAGTTTGATATAAGTAATAATTGTCATCACGTTAACACATGCCAATGAGTGATTTGTTCCTTTTGGTTTGCAATCATTTCATTCCAATGTTCCAATTCTTTACCTCTGGCAAACATAAATGATCCCAGAGTTATCCGACCAACCACTTTATCTGAAAAAGAATTTAAAAGATTGTAAACAATAAACACAAGGGAACTTTGGCTGTCACTCCGTTGGGTATGAAAAAATACAATAATTTCAGCTTTTGTTAGTTTCATAATACACGATACAGATTTCAATTCAAAATCAATTTTTGTTTTCTGAATTTCAGATTTTATATTACAATCATGCAATTGATCGAATTCTTTCTTCTAGCAAAATCAATCTTGTTATTGTTTTTAATACCCGATTCGATAGGTACTTTACACATCTGCCAATGCATTACATTTGAAACTTCTAGAGAATTATTTCGCGAAGACATGAGCTTGCCAGTTTTTAGTACTAATTCATTTCAGTTTGTAATAAGATCAAGCCAAGCCCAGTTCTTGTTTCTCTTTCGACAAATAATCTAAATTTATTTTTAGAATATGAAATAATGACACGCTAATTGATGACGTGTGGGAAACTTGCCAAAAAGCGTTACAATCCTTACGATTTCCTGTTTAATCCGAAAAATTCAAAAACTGCGAAAAACTTCCTGGTCTAAAAACAAACACGGGATTGGCAGTTGCATCAAATGCAGGCTTGTTTGGTAATCCATTTCTGACCAAGAGAAAAACCAAACTATACCTTTATGTCCAGTAAGATGCTGCATGGCAGTCAAAGTAACACTTGCAGTATCCAAACTATTCACTGGTAATTTGAAATTAAATGATTCATTAAAAGTTGGGCAAGTTGTTTTTCTGACAATTTCTGATTTCTTAGTCTTTATCACTTTATTCTGCACCATTAAACAAACTTTGATGTAGTAATCTGAGGGAGAAAATTATATTAAACCATTTAATGAGATAAAAACCTGTAGAGTAATGGATGGTCGACCTCACAAACTGGTTGCACGAAATGAGTAAAATGGCAAGCATATTATATTGGTTCTGGGAAAGAAATGAATGCTAAACTGAAAACCAAATCCGCATGCAAAGTGACATTGGATTTTAGAATGGTGAGCTTGTCCCATTTTGCTCTGGACCCTTGGTTTAGAAATACCAGCTTGTTTATTGATACTACCACCCTAGTGTTTTTTAACTCAAATTTATTATTTAGGCGCCATTCATTAAACAAAACTGTGTTTACTAGAGCTTACCTAAAGAGTTTGCTCCGTCAAATTGTTTAAAATCTTTGGCTTCAAAAATTCCGATGGTTATCCTTTCAAGATGATTATTATACGAAGTTGATACTGATAATTCACCTTTGTTTGTGGCCGTCTGAAAATATGAAATATATATTTTGCTATAGTGGTGTTTCGTCAAATTGGGACAAAAAGTCGACCCTGAGACTCAGTAAGTTTGTACAATATGTTACGGAAAGATTTTAAAAGATTACAAGAACGAAGTCACATTACTTTCCTTTTTCCAGACAATAATCTCGAGCCAGTGGAAATTTCAATCAGATATTGACATTTTTGATGGATGAACGGCTGTTTTGGTTTGAATTAAAATGAAAGCTATATAAAGTGCAAACAATGAGTTCTTGATATAATGGTCTGAGGCTAGTATGCATTTCTTTTCAAATTTCTACATTTTTCAGCGAGTAATTCACGGTGGATCAACCGTCTTACAAAAGTCTGAAAATCTAAATTTTCTGAATATACTACGGCGTTATTGACAAATTCATAGTTTACTGTATTAATTTTGCTGAAGGGGCGAAATATCAACAAGAAAACGAGTCAAGATTGTTATCGAGATATATGTAAACGCATAGATTCTAACTGCTTATAAACACAATTAGATGAAGGGATTAAAATTAAAATCAAATGTTTATAGACCAGAATAAGAAAATCGAATTTTGAGTGACATTAATTTCATCAAAAGACCCCTTCCGTGTAACCTTGTGTATTGATTGTCGTAATCCATACATTATCAAAACCTAAATACTTTGAAATTTATACGAATTTTCTTGATAGTCAGTTTTAATGTCATTTAGAGATAAATCTAAAGTTTTGAACCTTGTACCCGAAATTTGACATCGGGCTATATTTGAGAACCATACAATGGAATCAGCTTGGATTTCCATTAATGTTGGTTCACTTCCATACTGCAGTGGTTAAAGAAATGTAAGAATTAGGTCTTAATTGTATTATGAAGGATTCTCCATACACAACTTTAACAAGTATTACAATCGCATTATATTTATTGATTTTAACTGTAAGAAACTAAACACAATTATGCTATTATATTAAAATATAAGGTTTCATTCATAACATGGCAATTCAATTGCATTTAATTTAACTCTTTCTGAACAATAATTTGATAATGGCGATGTCTTGGCTCAAGTTACAGATCATATATGCGCTACATTTTACCTTGTATGTGTCGTATTGGCTTATTCAGAGGTGTCACAATTATTTTGCTATTTTCTTAAAGGGATTGTAAGGAGGTTTTCTATAATTTTTTGGCATCGGGTACACTGATGGCATCAATTTGTACCATTCCATTTTTTAATCATACGACATTGGTTCCTACAATTCCACTTCAAGTAAATGTTTGATATGTAATAAAGCTGGAAGCTTCGAATATTACAACAGGTCTACGTATGAACGTTACCGAGTTCGAACCAAAATAAATAGGATTGATGTTGAAAATCTATTTACTAAGTTTTATATACATGCATTTAATGAGTTCGTGAAGTGTGATTAATGTTCACTGACTTTGCCCTCAGGAGATGATCAAGTTATAACATTGTCGTAGCCTACATGAGTTAACATTTCATTTAACATGCTATTAAATGGAAAGTTTATCAAGCATGCATCCATAATGGTTAGATATTTCATCCATCGAAAACTTCATTCTGCTTGTACGATCCGTTGGTACCACGGAAGATCCTGTACACACAGTATAGAAACGCAATTGATACAGTCCGTCATGATCAGAGTTAAAACATTGTAATAAACTTAGCATGGACTCATTTCCAAACGATGCATTCCAGAAAACGCATAGGCGACCAAAATCAAGTAGGATAAATAATTACCTCAGCTACTTCCTTCTCTAAATCTCTCCAGACTACCACTCGTTCATTACTTTGACAATCATGATCTCGTAGAGGATAAAGAGCATGACCTAAAACATTATGGCGTTTATGGCGATCCACATCAAATACTGTCAGCTTGAGGACTCTATCTTCTACTGATCTTAATGAAACCTGTAATTAAAATACGAATCTCATTAGTGAAAGGGTTAGACAAAAAAGCGATAATTCTGTCTATCACGAAGAGCTTATTTGAATACTGCAAGTAATAAAATGAAAATATAACCATTTAATGTAACATTTACGAGTAGGACTATCTGGTCCAACTGTTTCCTGTACCACCAAATGCCACTTTGAACCTCTATTTTAGTTTGCAACTTTTAGAAAGTACACATCAGTTATACAACCCACTGTCTCATTTCTAGAGATGACTAGGTGGTAAAGAAGAATAAAGCTTAGAGGGTAATAATAATATTTCAGAATGAGGTCGGATAGTTTTTGTTTTAACATTTGGTCATTCAAAATACAGTACGTGTCGAATTTGACGAACACATTGATATGTCACAACGCCTTTTGAATCAATCTATGAGCTGTGATCAGGCAACTGAAAGGAATATAATAATCGAATATTTCGTGATGGAATAAGCAGAAAAATAGATATATGACAATACAGACTAAGATTTATACAGGACCTATCCAGAACATAGGTCGATGATATTCAAAATCATGGCTATATCAACTGCCCGAAATGGGATATACGGCGTCAAATAAGGTGTTCCGAAGGGGTAACCATGTCATATTTTGTCACGGCACCCATTGTAAAAAATTTCAAATTTTCAAGCAGAATTTTACCTGAAAAACAAAACTTTCTTCAAACTTTGGATTACAGGTTTTCTTTCTAAATTTAGACTGTAAATATCGCCGTTCATCTGGTATCAAATATATTCTGAAAAATAAAATATAGAGAATTGTACACAGGAATGACAATTTCCGGGATAACTCTGCAGAAAGACTGAGAATGGGTTCACCACATCAATCAGATGGTATGATCATGTACTCTCCATTGCGGAACTTTGCTTTTGAAAATGCACCAAAATATGAAAATAAGTAATTTAAACCAGCTTGAGAATTTGAAAATCAAATGACATCTGATGTTTAAATGGTACCACAGATTTTGCAATCTGTAAAATGGAGGAATTGAGATATAACCTACGTAGTAGCTACAAAGTTAGCGTATACATGTATATTTATTTTGCATTAATGGCATCTATTGTACTTCATGTCTAATGTATGTAATTTTGAGGATTATTGATGCTTAGCTACATTTGAAAAACTAGTAGCAAAAACACACGCTAAAAATTATATAAAGATTTAGACTTGTTATGTCTCTGAAATAACACGTGCAAAACATAAATATCTTTTAATGTGAAAATACCAGAAAAGGACAAAAAGAATTTATGTTATAAGAATAGGAGAAAAGTACGTTTGTATTGATCCACATTCTTAACTATAAGATGATTGTTCATCTAACTCTAGTTGACTCTTACCAATAGAATATTGATAGAATTCATCTATTTACTTCCAAGTTAATCACAGTCTGTCACAATAAATTGGGTGACATTTCTTTATTGTCTGTGGAGACTACTACATTTCAGCGTTTTGGTGAATATTACAAATACCGTATGTTCTCTGAAGGGATACTGATGTTAAATTATAGGTCTTGTACCAGGTAATTTGGATTGGGATGCCCCTAGCACTACACAAACAATGTAATATTGTAACCACGTGACTGGCGTAAGAGAAATAGGGTAAACATCAGAGCGTCGTCAGATAAATGAGGTAACAAAACACTGGCGTGAGAGAAAGAAGTAACTATCAGAAAGTGGTGTGAGAGAAATGCTGTAACTATCAGAGTGACGTGAGATGAATGGGGTAACGTTAACTTTGGATTGAGAGAAATGCAGTAACCATCAGAGAGTGGCGTTAGAGAAATGCAGTAACCATCAGAGAGTGGCGTGAGAGAAATGCTGCAATTATCAGAGAGTGACGTGAGAGAAATGCAGTAACCATCAGATAGTGGCGTGAGAGAAATGCTGTAACTATCAGAGTGACGTGAGATGAATGGGGTAACGTTAACTTTGGATTGAGAGAAATGCAGTAACCATCAGAGAGTGGCGTGAGAGAAATGCAGTAACCATCAGAGAGTGGCGTCAGAGAAATGCAGTAACCATCAGAGAGTGGCGTGAGAGAAATGCTGTAACTATCAGAGTGACGTGAGATGAATGGGGTAATGTTAACTTTGGATTGAGAGAAATGCAGTAACCATCAGAGAGTGGCGTGAGAGAAATGCAGTAACCATCAGAGAGTGGCGTGAGAGAAATGCTGTAACTATCAGAGTGACGTGAGATGAATGGGGTAACGTTAACTTTGGATTGAGAGAAATGCAGTAACCATCAGAGAGTGGCGTGAGAGAAATGCTGTAATTATCAGAGAGTGGCGTGAGAGAAATGCAGTAACCATCAGAGAGTGGCGTGAGAGAAATGCAGTAATTATCAGAGTGACGTGAGATGAATAGGGTAACGTTAACTTTGGATTGAAAGAAATGCAGTAACCATCAGAGTGTGGCGTGAGAGAAAGAAGTAACTATCAGAAAGTGGTGTGAGAGAAATGCTGTAACTATCAGAGTGACGTGAGATAAATGGGGTAACGTTAACTTTGGATTGAGAGAAATGCAGTAACCATCAGAGAGTGGCGTTAGAGAAATCCTGTAATTATCAGAGAGTGGCGTAAGAGAAATGTTGTAACTATCAGAGAGTGACGTGAGAGAAATGCTGTAACCATCAGAGAGTGGCGTGAGAGAAATGCTGTAATTATCAGAGTGGCATGAGATGAATGGGATAACGTTAACTTTCGATTGAAAGAAATGCAGTAACCATCAGAGAGTGGCGTGAGAGAAATGGACTAACCATCAGAGAGTGAGGTAAGAGAAATCAGTTAACCATCAGAGAGTGGGGTGGGAGAAATCAGTTAACCATCAGAGAGTGACGTGAGAGAAATCAGTTAACCATCAGAGTGGCATAAGATAAATGAGGCAGTCATTCGAGTGGTGTGGGAGGAATAAAGCAGTTATTCGTGTGGTGTGAAATAAAATGAAGTAACCATCATGATCTATCAGGATTGTGTGAGAGAAATAAGGACGTCGTCTCTTTTTCCGGAACACAAAATCCCACTGGGTTTCTCGGCATCCCTGTTTTTGTACTTTAATCAATTTCATTTCAAGACTACAATTTCACGAAAAGCTTATCAATAACCTTTTAAACCACCTTTAGTAGAATTTTAATAGAGAAATCAATTGGAAAATGTGACAGATAAATAGAGGCGACCGCGATTCTTCCATTTGCGGAATGGAGATACATTTAATTTCCCTACTGCGATTGCTATCCACTATATTTCATTTCCATGTTCAAAGGTCGAACAGCAATTAAATACGCTTATCTGACACGAAAACACTATAGGAAGTAATAATGAATTCAAAGCTATTATAACCCGGACTGATTATAAATTAGTTACATTAGCCTCTAGATTATTTTTCATATTATCAGGGGATCAAGAAACTGATCGTAAATAAACAGACTTTAACACGTAATAACCATTATGTGAATATATCAAAATAAATTGTTTTGAATATAACGGATTGTTTGTTTATTTTCCAATTACTCTGAATAATTACCAGATTCCATGGTAAATTTATAAGATGTTTGTTAGAAACGTAGGCCTATTGGGTATCTTTAACACCAATCGCAACCTATAGTCAGAATGGTCTTTCTGGCACCTTCGAATCTGTGAAATTTTGAAACTAATGATTAAAGTATACTTCTTCATATGGCGTATATTATTATACCGATTTCAGAATACACAAAGATGGAAGTCATATTGACTTTATCGAAAGTGCTAAGATGTAAGATAATTTCTTTTAGGTAAAGCTCATCCGGTGTTGTCGGTGGTCTCTGTCGGACTACACAAGCAATTAAAGTCAGAAGGAATTCATTGACTCTCATTATATTTCCCAATATCTAGCGTAAATCGAAATAAAGTTAAAGTTTTAAATAGTATGAAAATTAACAACTTTGCCATTGTTAATTTTTATCAATGCATCATTGAAAAACATTAAACTCTCACCTTACAAATGGGTCGCATCCATTATCACTTCCACAAGATCGACTTGGGAGATTTCTCGCCTTGATCAATGTTACTAATAGTTTCTCAGTTTCCCTTTCATATTCCACAGCAAACCAAACACGCCCGATATGGTCCCTAGGTACTTCATAAATATCGTCTTCGTCGGCTATCCGATATAATGTAGGATCTATGGATCCCAAGGCATATGCTCCTGAAATCAGAAGACAATATCATTAAGTAATTGAAAGAAATCGTAAAGAAGATTGGTAGATGTATTTATGTTCGTTTCATCCAAGGGACAGACACGCTCACAAAACGTTTATCTTGTCTACAAGTATTATTTTTGACATTAGCACTATAAATCAAATCAAACCATTGACTGTTTCAATAAAGGAAGAATATTTACGGGAAAGTGAAGGTTCCCCTGTGAGAATCGAACTTGTGAAATTGCTGTACGGATTAAATGAAATAAACTAATAACCCAGTGACCTATTTTATTGGTCTCTATAGCTTTCCACCCACAGCCAGGCTAGCATAAGTTCATATCGCAATACTGAATAATTATTGGTATGAGTTTTTCGTTAAGACTAATAAAAAGGGGGGGCGTCATATAGTGTTTAATGAGAAATTTGGCAAGAACGGCGGTAATGGCATTAGCTTCCTTTTTCGATTTCCAATTGCCCTCAAACATGGGATACTGAAAAACACACTCCTCTCAAGAGTAATTCACTATGCTGACAAAGATTCGTACCATCTATTTCATGATAAACAACCGAGAACGCTGTCCCAAATAGACCAAAATTTTCGGCTGGGTGAGGGGTTGTATCAGCTGGCTACAGCTAAGCCAATACCTTTGGTGGCAGTGGCTGGCTGGACATAACACCAGCTAGCTGGCCGCAGCTTTCAGAAAACTACCTTTCGCATTAAGTGCCACAAATACTAGATGGTAAATGATTCTCTTTAAGACTGACCGGTTCCATAACCAAGATTTCTAATGCAAATTGGTTGCAAAGGAAATTGTTAACTAAATTCTGAATTTCAACATTTTAATCCAGATCATGAAAAATACAACTACATGGCACGTGGAAAGTTTTTCTTAAATAAGATTCAAAATTCTAGATTTACAGACAACAATATTTTTTACCAAATACTTAACAATATGTTTGTGAGAACTTGCTTTCAACATACGTACATGTTCATGCTTAAAATTAAAATGCATGAGTTGAAAGACTTCAGTGCGCAGTATGAAAAGTAACCAAATTAGGTTCTAATATACAAGTTTAAAAGAGTCTTCAGCTGGGTATATCTGGATCTTCCAATATCTGGTCTACAATTTAACTTTACTAACCCAGCAAAGAATTACAAGTCATGACAATACTTGATGTCGTCATGAATAAAGAAGATCATGTTCAAATTAAGTGAACTTCGTTTAGCATCATAAATAAACCGGTAGTGGAAAGATTTTCCACTGACACACTTGATGAAGGAATTCAGAACCAGATGGGGCTTTTCATACTGAAGTGACACTTGGCGAGCGCCGGTGGAAGTAACACGGCGGCGGCTGACTGGTTTAAAAAGCAGACCGACAGCGGCTTGTGGCGGCTTAGAGATTTTCGGCGGCTCACATTCCCAAAATAAGCATATGCTACCAGAAAAAAATGATAACGTTAGAAATGCGGCTCGCTATTGATTTTTAGAAGGTTTTAAGCCCCAATGTGCACTAACCAAATTTATCTTCTCTTGTGAGACATGAGATATGACCAAATAAATATTTTAAGGTACGATATCTTTCAAAATTTTAGAATAACCATAGCTGTAAATTCAATTTTGGAACTGTAGGAAGATCTGCAATGGAATTATTTTAATCAAGGAATTAAAGTTAAACCACAGCTTTCACGTGTGAAGACAGTACACAGGGGTTACATGTATAAATCTAATGAGTGCAGCTAAGGATAGCTTTTAAACAGAGTTAAAAATTGAAAGGTTTCTACAAATAATATTGACATAGGTCAGATTTGTAACCCGAGCAGCAATTGTATTATAAAAAATTGATCTCAGAATGTCAAATTTGTCAACAGTGGTAAACTATCGTTCACTCAACTCTAAATTCTTTCTACAGAGTGACGCAAATGATCGATAAATGAAGGAAACTATATCATGTTTATAGGTCAGGTCATGTTAGCTTCTTTATACTTTCTAAATGAATGCAAAGGAAACATCAATGCACTACCAATTAGCATTCAGGTTTCAGTCTGAAGACTTTTTTGGATTCTAGCTCAAAGTACGTACATGTAGTCTACATGTAGGAGATATCATGGGTGTCCCCAGTTTCCTTGAGACCTTATATATGTTATTTTGCAACGCAGAATACTGCAATTTCAATTTGATTTATACAACAAAAGTATTTAACCGTGTCCACAATTCATGAGATGAATAGTAATGCTTAATTCATTAATGAAATACACCAGACACGAACGGTTGCTATGTGTATGAAACAGATTGACAGTCAAAATTAGAAGCATCAGAATATCTCCGAAGCTTATACTACAGGGAACAAGGATCGTACACACACATGACAGTAGGTATGGACAGGGCTCTAACAAGACAAGACACAATACAATATGTTCCTTAAGCATGCAACGTTACATGCTTATGATAATGATCATCTGAATAATCGTACCGTTGCTTAAGAAACATGGACACAATACTGAATACAGGAGAGTCTCAAGTGAGTCGAGAACTGGCTCAGATCCATGACAATAACCAGAGTACACTATGAGTCGTATGAAGCATGAAGATATTTGATAGCTGGATCAAGTTCTGTAGAAGAATAAGCAAACTTCATATAACTCAAGTTTCTAAGATGCTCGTAATCTCTTTGCATTAGTGGGTTAATTTTAAAGTCATTCTAACGACTAATTATGGACGATCGTTAACTATTTAATGAAAGCGGCTATTCATTCTCGAATTCCTACACTTGTCATGATCTTTAAATAATGGCACAGAAAGACAAACAAACTGAGGAACATTCAGTCTTGTGTCAATATGTCAGAGGCTTTGAATTTGAGTTAAACAATGATCTTCAATTCTTCTCCAGCTATTGTTATTTAAGATATGTTTTCAATCAAACTAAAGGAGCCAAAGTGACAGATTCCAGTACAATATCATCCAACTAACCTTTAACACCATCAAATTTTATCTCTGAAATATTTATCATACTTGAGTTTAGATTAGACTGTAGAATTAGAATTCCCTACTGATTCCCCACTCATTCCTTTATTCTTAAGATTTTGAACTACTTTTTCTTCTGGTATTTTACATACTTAGTTTGAGTCATTGTTCTTCAGAAAGTACAAATAGGTTTGTTTGTGTTACAGATGTGGCTATGTTACGCTATAACACTGAGTCAGTAGTGAACAGTTAAGCCAGATGTTAGTTTTGCCATATTGTTTGTAAGATTTTGATATAACATACTGTTATCGATGGCAGCTGTCACAAAGTTGTTTAATATCATGGAGCGAAGGGACCTTTAGTTAACAACAAGTAAGTCATGTTGGTTAAATCTATCATATTGAGGACGGAACAAGAATGGTATTGCCCTCCTATTTTAACTAAAAATGTATTTGACACCTTTAATCGTAAAAAAAAAGTAACATGTTTTCTTATATTGCCCCAAACAATATTAGCATTCAAACGATGGTTATTTATACCACTCCATATACATGTAATATATATATTTTTGAATGTACTAAAAGACAAGATCTCCAAATCTATTTCGACTTTCGGAATGGCATGTTAAATTGCCAAATCCAGTCAATGCAGTCAGTTGACATTAGATGTTCCATCTCTCTAGATACACCCATCACTGCAGCCGGCTTTATAAGAAGTTACCACCTTGCACTCAAGTGAAGTCGTGTCCACCAGCAGAGTCATCAGCCTATTGTGATATATCAAATAAACAGTATTAAATTTTGTTGTTTTGACTCTCTAAAAAGGATGCCGAGTTGACAAACCCAGTTGCAAACTAAGGAGTGTGAGCATGTCATACAGCTAGTGACACTTCTGTCACAGATTTGAGTTCAAGAGCTCATAGGTTGAAGAATGACCTGGTGATCTATTTTACACACAGCACAGCCTAGTGCACCCACATAACATATAATAAGATGAAAATAATTACAAGACATCGAAACAAACAAGAGTGAGAAGTATTATTATTATTTGTTCAAGCAATAAATAAAGAAATCATTAATAATAGACTTAAAGCATGTAGACAGACACAGGTTTCAGATTGATTGTTTTTCAGCACGATATCTTCACATTTACTCTTGACAAAAACTGGGTCTTTTCTAAATATTAGTGTCTGTTCCTTTCTAATCGACTTGACAAAAGAAAATACGCAAAATTGTTAATTTTATAGGAGAGAAATGTCAGAGATTACCTTATAGGACTATTGGAGATTAGACTATCTCTCGACTTCAGTTAGCTATAATTGATTTGTGAAATATTTATGAAGAAGATACCAAGATATTGTTATGTTTTGAATCAAAGGATCGTGCTTTCTTAGAGCTCAATATTCTATGTTAAGTCGAAAATTACTCAGCTCGATCTCACAACCGTTTATAAGGTACACTACCGAGTCTTCAAGTTTCAGGCTCTAGCGCACTCAAGACACTGAATAAAGTAAGTAAATCTCAACTACCAAATGAAGATAGTACCCGATAACCTAACTGACTGTTACGTATGCAACTTAAATACGTCATTTTGGTTGTAAAGGGATCGTATACAAAAAGATTTCATTTGATTTCAGTTCTTATATAATTATATAATGAGGCAACAGGTGTAAACAATTGTTATATTGTGTCGCATTTAAGACATTCAAACAATTTGCCAATAATATTGTGTTCGGTTGTCTGGCTTCGAACGTTAACCCACATTCCATATAATATTTATGGTGTTTTTAACTATGTTTAAACAAATTTAGTTCTGTTATATGCTAGTTGTAAGTAACGTCTTAGGCACTGAACACGATCTATTTATTGGCTTCCGTTGGAAATATTCCAAACGAAATTTATTCTCACAAGAGATTTACCAACAATTTGTTCATACGGCTAAGAGATATTTTGGGTTCATTTTTTTCTTCTAAATTTTCTTTATTTTGACAAAATCACGTTTATAAGAATGATTGTAGAAGAAAAAATTCGACAAAAATCT